TTACATGTAGATTATAGTCACTACACTATTTAGAAGCCCAGACTACATGAAGAGTCCAAGGGGAGTTCCTATGTTTACATTTCTAAGTAGTTCCTAACAGACCTGGAGCCTTGAGCACCTAACATGATAATAAAGGAAACTTCACATAGCCCCAGCTAAAAAGAAAAACAAAAACAAAACAAACAAACAAAAAAATACACCATCTCAAAGACCAGCGCCAGTCTTCTTTAATACAATTTTAAATATTTATCATTACCAGTAGTTATATCTTGCTGCATAACAAATCACAGATTTTATTTGGTTCTGAATTCTAAAAAGGTTTATCTAATAGGAATGGTTTAACAACCGGAGACCTTTGAAAGATTGTATTTTTATATGATTCCATGGTGAAACCCTCCAGAACATTGTTAAATATAAATGACAAGAGCAGATATTCTTTCCCTGTGTATATTAGAGAAGATGTGTTTAGTTTTCACCATGATGTTAGCTCTCAGTGTCTTAGGGATACATTATCAGTTTGAAGAAGCTGCCTCTAATCTGAGTTGCTGATCTGTTTTGAACTTTTATCATGAATGGATGTAGGATTTTTGTCAAATACTAATTCTGAATTTTAGATTCAGATGTGACTTTTTTTCTTTCTTCCACCAATACAATCAATAAGTGTTCATTCTTTGATGTTATATTAACTTTGCCTCATTAGAATATCATTTAAGTGGAATTTAAATGGTCTTTGCTTCATTTGGTTATCATTATTTGTTAAATTCACACTTCTGGGATTGATTTAACATTTTAATGTAATTTTTTATTTATATATGACAGAAGAATGCATTACAATTCGTATTACATATATAGACTACAATTTTTCATATTTCTGGTTGTATACATAGTATATGCACACCAATTCGTGTCTTCATACATATACTTTGGATAGATGACTTAACATTTTATTAAGGAATTTTGGGGCCTTTGTTTATAAAATATACTGGCAGGATGGCAGGATGGCTCAGCTCAGTGACCCCAAGGGTCAGCTCCAGCACTGGAAAGACAAGAGAGTGAGCACACGGGAAACTTTCTATTTATTGGGGAAAAGACATTCAAGAATATTCCACACACTTCACACTTCTTGTGAAGTTTTTGTTTGGCTTTGTTATCAAGTGATAAATATTTCCTCTGTTTTGAAGAATTTACACTATTTGGTTTTTAAACTTTTGATAGAATTTCTAGTAAAGACATCTGGGAAAAGGCTTTTCTTTGTGAGGAGATTTTTCATTATACCTAAATTTTCATACCTGTTTTAGGAACACAAATGTTTCCTATTTCTTCTGTCAGTTTTGATCATTTGAATCTTTATAAGAATTTGACCATAATTTTTTACTATTTTTTACAATAAAATAATTTATCATATTTCTTTACAATATTTTGTTTTGTTTATGATTAAAATATATTTCTTATTTTATTCTGATTTTGGTAATTTTTTTTCTTTTTCCTTATTTTAAAGTTGTACTTTAAATATGAATAGGCAATTCTAATTCTCATTCATTGAGTGAGCATGAGAACAGACTGCAATATCCTTTAGGATTGGGACAAACATCTGACAAAATATTTTGAAGGCATGAGAGACAAATACAGAATACTTTCTTTTCTTTTATTTCCTTTTTTTTTGGGGGGGTACCAGGGATTGAACTCAGGGGCACTCAACCACTGAGCCACATCCCCAGCCCTATTTTGTATTTTATTTAGAGACAGGGTCTCATTGAGTTGTTTAGTGCCTTGCTATTGCTGAGGCTGGTTTGAGCTTCCTGCCTCAGCCTTCAAAGCGGCCAGATGTGCATCCTGCACCGGAACAGAATTATATCTTGGTTATCATAAATGGACCACAAATTATTAATTAACAGATTATTAAAATATAAACAAAGTAGACTAATGATAATGGAAATTTAAATGGTCTATTAGGAACATCACAATTATGTGTGACATCAGTTGTTTAATGTTTATTAAGCCAATAATTGATTTTGTTTTTTAAGTATTAAATAATAACTAAACCCTGTATAATTTTGTTGTCAAATATTTGGTCATTATACTCTTGCTGAATCAAAGTTAAATGAAATTTCATTATTGCTCTCTGAAATATAGATTAAATGGCTCAGAAAGAAAATAAGTCATTATTTTTTCAACACACTTTAGTAAATTATATACCTAAATGAAAGAATGCTGCATTACTTTTATAAATTTTATACTATGGCAAAAAGTTCAAGATTTATTAGACTGCAGTAGTTCTCAAACAGAGATGTTTTCTCCAACCTAGCTGGCACTAAGGAATTCAGTATATTATATTTAAACCCTTAATTATGAAAAAATTGAAAATGTATGTAATAGAGAAAAGAATAACATAATTAAATCCATAAACCCATTACTCATTTTCAGCAATATGAACATGCTGTTGTTATTGTTTTTCCTCTATCCTTGATTGAACATTTATTTTATGGTTGTTGCAATGCTGGCTTCTGACATTTAATTTCAGGAAATCTAGGTGTCCTGCAGTGCACATAATTGTTTCACACAACAAAGATTTGTCTTAGTTAAAACGCTTAAAGAATCCCCTGGAGAAACACTATTAATAATAAGTTATTACAGTATTGATGTTTTTTTGTGACAATTTACTCATGGAAAACATCAACTAAAATGATATTTTAGGGCAATAATTAAATAATTCAAAAAATACCCAGAATTTTTGATGGATGAATGTAGGCCTAAATTCATTTTGATAACCTTTTGATATATTATAAAAGTAGATTGTTAAGATAAATACAATTGAGGGATAAGACTTGTCTCCTCTTGAAGAAATTCCCTCTCACTCTAACCTAATGAAATAAAACTCCTACCCTAGAAAAAAGTGGAAAAGAAATTCTCCTCTTCATGTGGGCTCTGGACTTGAACCCACCTTACCATGTAAAATAGGAAGTAGACTGTTTCCCATTATCCAGATGTTGAACAGGTTGCCATTCTTCTTAACAGCAAAATCTAAGACATAATATAAACTATTTATCTATTTTAAGGGGCTGTATAATTATCAGTGTGCTTTTTAAAAATAATAATTTATAATAGAATTGAGAAGCACTAAGGAGCCAGAACATCTGATTCCAAGTCAGCATTTTTACCTTCACTTTTGGTTTTTGGAAAAGTCATAACTCGCTAATTTTTTAAGAGTTCCATATGCATAATAGGGTTGATGATAGTGTCTATATAATAGTTGCCATGAACCATAAATGAGTTAATCTGTATAATGTGTTTTAGAATGTTGTTGATTCATTGTTAACTTTTTAAAGTATTAGACATTTGTTTTATTTTTATTGTTGATATGCAGTTTCTTTAGAAATTTAAACCAAGTTTAGCAAATTTACTGACTTTTATCCCTATTCTGCACTACATAAATATAAGTACAAACAAAAAAAAACTGTATCTAGCTAATCTCCACAGAATATAACTGGTAATAAAAAAAAATAAGAATTTCACCAAAACATTGAAAGTTATGTAAAACATCATCTTATTTAATACAACAAATCTATGAGGTAGGACTTATTGATATCATGTGTTTTACATGGGGAAACTCAGTGAAATAACTGAATAAGAAAGGTTCAATAACTTTTGAAAACTAAGCCAAAGCTTTTTTATCAAATAAGTTAATATGCTTTCACCAATATCAATGTCTACATCATATGTATTTTCACAATCATTCTCCAAGATTAATAACATATCTTTCATAATTACACCAAATATCCTCATTTCATATATTCTCTGTCCATACTGGTACACAAGAGTAGATTTCGCAGTGACATATGGCAATGTGTAGATATTTCTTATATTAACGTTCAACATTTTAAATTTTTTTTCTACTGAATTTTATAGACTTGTGACAATCAGTCATTCAAAAATATTTGTGTACTCATTTCTTTAAAGCTTTCCAGATAGAGGTGTATAAGAATATTTTGAATATTCAATAACACTGTAGAAGAACTTAACTTCTTCTACAGAAGAATCAAGACAGAATGTATGGTAGAATATATATGTCTTTCAGTTTCATACTCCTGGGCTTGCATTTGTAACTCCCCATTCTTCTAGCTGTGTGATCTGGGTAGGCCTTTAAAAATTTGAGACAACTGATTCATCTGTAAAATCTTAAAGATAAATTTTGTATGTTGTAAGCTAAACTTACAAAATATTAAAGCATTATGTTATAAATAATTTATCAAACTAATTATTTATAACATAATACTTTTATGTTTTGTAAGTAATATTTTTATGTTTTGTAGTAAATTATTTATAGCATCCTTCAGCAAATGACAGGTAGCAAAGGGTAAGTTATTAGGTTGAACCCAAACCCTGTGATGGGATTTTAACAGATGCCTTTTCAGTTGAGATTTATTTTGATACTGTAGAAAGAATCTATTCTCTAACAAAAGTTTGCTTATTCTTTTCTTTCATATAATCAACAAATAATTTCAAGATATCCTAGCTTTCTATAATGTTCCTTGATTTTACTCCCTTAAGTCTATTTTCTTAATTATAACTTACGTAAAGCAATCTCTCTTTCTTCTTGATACTTATCATTCTTTTATTCAGGAAGAAACTTCTGACTGGATTAATTTCAAAAGGGTCATTTAAGATGTAAAACATGGCAGATAGTAAAATTTTTACTACATTTGTAAAACTTAGAAAGCTATATTTTTTAATCTAATAAAAAATATTGCTAATGGCAAAGATTACTCTTGTGAACTAACCCTGGTAAGATAGTTAAGTCATCCCACCAGAAATGCCCTAAACTTATAAAATGCCAGCTAAGTGGTTTGTCTTACCTAATGGTGAGTTTCAGGGATGAATTCTCGTAACATGCCTTGTTTGTGTTCTGACACCTAAGCATCAGTGTTGCACTGATGTTCTTTATTGAAGAAAGAATAACTAAAACAATTTTAATCATAATTTATGTTTTTATGTTTCAACAGGTAACCCATTATTAACCAGCAAAGTCAACATACTAATTAATGTCTTAGATGTCAATGAATTTCCTCCAGAAATATCTGTGCCGTATGAGACAGCTGTCTGTGAAAATGCAAAACCAGGACAGGTATCTTAACAATAGTGTAAATCAAGAGTATATAAAAATATTGGTGGTATACACTTGTAATTTCATTGACTTGTGAGGCTGAGAAATGAAGATAACAAGTTTGAGGTCAGCCTCAGAAATTTAGTGAAACCCTATTTCAAAAATAGAGAAGTGAAATGTAACTCATTGGTAAAGAAACCCCGGGTTCAATCCCAGAACCCACCGCCCCCCGCCAAAAAAAAAAAAAAAAAAAACATGTTTAAAGATGCATCATATGTGTATATTTTCAACTCTAAGTCCAGACAAATATACATGTGCATATGCTCATATTTCAGAACAAGTCCTCATAAAATAAATCATAAGAGATATTAAACTTGTGTGGATGATGGTGAATAAATGGATGTGAAAATAATCCCATAGGGAATAAAGTTTTGATTTCCTAGCAAGTTCTTTGGATTATGCATTCTGCCATTTTTGTACTCTCTTACTATGGCTTATCTAAAGAACTTGACTGTGAGCAAACACTCTGTGGTGATATATTGATGTAAACTTCAATCACTTCTAAGTAACATAACCACTTAGGTAAATTGAATGAGTTTTAATTCTTGAAATAAATTTTACATTTGAAACAATATTTTTAAAGGGCACGCTTTAAAATTTACTGTCTTTCAATTTGTGCATGTAATACTTCTTAGTATATTATTTGTCCAAAAGCTGTGCACCAGTGATATGTACTATCAATATAACTATTATATGAAGTTTAAATAAAATTTAGAGCCCATGTTCACTCTAGTAATATTTCAAGTGTTCAGTAATTGTATGTGTCAAGCAGACACCATTTTGGTGAGTAAAGTTACATTTTCATAAGCATGGAGACTTCTAGATTGACTGTGTTGTCCCAATCATTCATAGATGATGTGAAGAAATCACTAAATGAATTACATGACTACATATTTTCATCATGTTACCGCAAATAAGAAATCTGCATCATTAATTTATAATAGTCACAGAATGGATTAAACCTTATCACCTTGAAAGCATCCATAATATTCATGGATGTCTGTTTCGCTTGTTCTGCTCCAATGTTTTTAAAAGTAGATGCTACATAAATATTTGAGCATAAATTAATTAACTAATTTGGATAATTGGAAAATTAAAAGAAGTTTACAAAACTTCTACACATTAGCTATTTTTCACTTTTGAGGAGCTCCACTGTGCCAAAGTATATAAAAAAGCCATTTTTGTCTTCTGGATACTTAGGACTATTAATAATATCAGACTAATCAAAATCTTATAATGCTCCAAATGAAATTAGCCTCTGGGAACAGAGCTCTATTTTGCTATATTTGTCTAATAAAGTAAAAGATTTGAACTACTGGTACAAGTCCATGTTACTAGAGATCAACCAGATTTTCTTATTTGTGGACAAAATAGTGAAAAATCTGTTGTGTTCTTGGGAACTCTATACCAAAAAAATCTGTTGGGTTTTTGTGTCCTACTCCTCAATACTTATGTTCAAAGCACAGTGCTGAAATGTCCCTTGAGTTTGCAGGGTGTGTGATATATTGCCATTTTCTGTTTTGGGGACCCAACTATAGTGCCCCTGGCATACAAACCATGCATAGCAAATAGCTTTCTCTTCTGGATTATTATTGAATATATATATAGATATAGATATAGATATAGATATAGATATAGATAAAATACATATATGTATACGTGTGTGTGTGTGTGTGTGTGTGTGTACTTTTAGAAAAAGAAGAGAAATAGTAGGGAATAAGTTGGTCTTATGTAAGCCCGTGAAAATTTATGTAAGAGTTATTTTCTTCAGGGCAGTGCTTTCCAAATAACGTTTCCAGATAAATGAATGTCTTTAATAGTTTCTATATGCTGTCCTAAGACCATTTTCTTTCTTCAAAAATATGTTCTTGATATTTTGTTGTTAAATATTTTTAATTTAATAGTGGCACTTGCTAACAGCATTAAGAAAACAAAATAAAAATTGACAATCAAGTATTGGTTCCTTAGTAATGTACAGAACTTTTAGGGGTGAAATTCTATGATTGGAGTACATTGGTCTGAGTCAAAAAAAGTTAATTTTTCAGGGTCTGTATCAAGATTCTTTCTAAATTATTATATTCTGTCATCTAATGATAAATTATAAAAGTCTCATTCATGACAATTATACAGGGAAAATAAATTCTGTGCAAAGAATTTGCGCTATGATAAGAAATTAAAATTTCGAATCCAGAATCCAAAATTCCTAATTTTGTTACTAATGCTGCACTGATACATAAATGCCAATAACAGTTGTTATTCATCTATCCATCATTTAGGTATCTCTCTGTGTGCCCAAATATATGGGAAGGTAAATTGTAGTCAGGAGACTGGATTTAACCAGGAATAAAAACCAGAAATAAAACAAAAATTAAAAGCATCAGTTTAATAGCATCAGTCACATGATGAATATTTTACACAATTATTGCAGGTTACCATAATTTAATATAACGTCTTCCTCTGCCAGATTGAAATTTAGTTCAAAAGCATGATCCTCTGATCAGCACACATCCTTTGTCTTTTCCCATACATGCTTCCTGAAATTAGTCTGTCTGCACACAGCTATTGGATATGTTGATTCAAAAGTGCCTGAAAGCCATTCTGATTTTGTTTTGTTTTGTTTTTGGTGGAATGGAATCCATATTCTTGTGCATGCTAAGTAAGCACTCTACCACTGAGCTGCCTGTCTAATCACTTAAAGCCATTGTAACTTGCTTATCTATATAGTGAATTATGAATGTTATGGTTTGGCTCTGAGAAATTACTTTTTGATTGTTTTCAAATTTAACAGCATCTTTCTGAAATATCAGGAATTTAACTAGACTATATGCTACTTTTGGTGACAGTGAAGAACATTTTTGAAATAGGGATTGCAATGCTTATTATGGAAATCTATAAAAACATATTTTTGTTCCTAATCAATGAAGGAAAATTAACCTAACAACAGAAACAATATACACATTCTTTCTTTGTTTCCCATTGTTTTATACATGAAAATAAAACTCATTCTAACAAACAACAGTTCTAAAATTTTGCTATTTTTAGCACTTTTAGATAATCAAATATTTTGTTTCCAGTAAGCAGCTTCATGTTTAGGCTGGAAAGCATTCAATTCATCTAATTTAAAATGCAAACAAGTACATTTTAATTTCATTTTGCTTATTAGTGAGAATTTTCAATGCTGTTAAGCTTTTCAGTTTCACATATATTGATTTAGAATTAACCTGTGTCCTATAATTGAGCCTGCTATTAAAACCTGTAAACATTTAGAAAATTGTTAATAAAAATTATGTGTGAGTAATTGGCCTGTTGAAATAAATTCAAAAAGTATAATTTCTGTAGCATGCTTCATTAAATGGATTTATAAACCTGTTATGTAAAGTTCCTTTCAAAACTGATTGACTTCAAGTTTAATCTTAACTTTGTTACAGATAATTCAGATAGTCAGTGCTGCAGATCGAGATCTTTCACCTGCTGGGCAGCAGTTCTCCTTTAGATTATCCCCTGAGGCTGCCATCAAACCAAATTTTACAGTCCGTGACTTCAGAAGTAAGTATAAACACTTAAAGATTTACCTTTTTCAAGTAGCTTTTTCAAAGGGCACATATAGAGGAATCAATACTTTTCTTAAAAGCATTCAATTTTGTAAAATAAAAAAATCCACATATGAGAAATCCAACATTGTCTAAATAGTAATAAGTTAAATATTTATATATGGATCTATCTAGAAGGCCAATGTATTTCCACCATACAAAGGAATGTCTCTTAATGAGCCATGCATGCAAAAAGCTACCAGACAAATTGAAAGTTGTCCCTATCAAATATATCCTTTGGCTCCCATGCATATTTCTTGTACATACAAATAGGTAACTCTATAGTACCTGTCTTATTTTAATAACACTCAGTATAGCACAGGTTACTACTGTAGATATTGTAATTAGAATGATTCCCAGGCCATACCAAAATGGTTGACTCTCAGAAAATAATACTAAACGATGAGAACTTCACTGTACTTGTATTAAATTCATGTATACAAAGTATGAAACATAATAGTTATAATATATTACTGCCACTATAATTTTAGTTATCCCCTCATATACCATGTCTACACTTACTTTCTACTACTATTATGGCCAGCACTGCTACTACTTCTGCTATTATTATTGCATGTGACACTATTATATCCACTACAAAAAAACATAAAGAATACTGGATTTCAGATGCTTCTCAATGTATGATAGGATTATGTCTCCATAAACTCATCATAAAGTTGAAAATATACTAAATTGACAATGCATATCATGTACCTACCCTACTAAACATCAGGGATTAGCATATCCTATCTCAAATGTGTTTAGAACAGTTTGTTAATCTGCAGTTGGGCAAAATCATCTAACAGATTGTCTATTTTAGAATAAAGTTTGGAATATATCATGCAATTTTTAAATATCATACTAAAAATGAAAAAGGTAACAATTTCATACTATGGGTATGCTTTCATACAACATATAGACTAAAAATATTTAACCACGAATTTGGAAACTGTCTATATTAAGGTTTATGTGTTCTCTATTAAGATTGCAAATTATAGTTTTGCTTTTTGGCTTTTTGTTTGTTTTTGTTTTTGTTTTTTTTGTTTTGATATTTTTATCTCTTAAAATTTTTTTTTTTGGATTTTATAAATAAAGTGACCACTGGAGTTTAAACTTCAGGGGCACTCGACCACTGAGCCACATCCCCAGCATTATTTTATATTTTATTTAGATACAGGTTCTTACTGTGTTGTTTTGAGCCTCGCCTTTGCTGGGGCTGGCTTTGAACTTGTTATCCCCCTGTCTCAGCCTCCTGAGCCACTGGGATTACAGGCATGTGCCACACTGCTCCTGCCTTCAAAATTTCTATATGCTAAAAAATAAGAATTAAAATGCCAATTTTTATAATATTGGGTAGTGAGAAACTAAAGTTTTAATAAATTCTCTTTCTAGAACTAAGTACTTAAATTATAATGGGATGATAATGATGGTGATTATTGGTAGACGCCCAAGGATGTTTTGAGAAAACTGGGTTTGCTTTAAATAATTAGAGAAAGAAATTGGAGTCCCCATGTTTTGTCACCAAAGAGAGTTGAGTGAGAATGACTCAATGCTGGGGTCTGAAGAACAGCTGTACATGAAACAGCACCCCAAAGTTGAAGGATTTTATAAATAAAGCAACCACATGTTTTATCATGAAAATGGTAACACTTCTGAGAACAGAAATAGACAATATTTATAGTTTTCAGTTAGAGCAACACATATAAAATTGAGCTGTTCAAAATAAATCAGGTCATTATGTTCACACTATTTATAAATAAGCTAAAGGTGTAGTAATTCAAATAGAGTAATTTTATAAGTCTTTGAAAAGTTTATGCAACAGTATAACATGTTCAGATTTTCATTTTGGGAAGATCAGTCTTATGTAATATGGAAAAGACATGAAAGGGAGAAAAGACTAGTCCTGGCACCTTTGCATTATCGGGTGAGACTGGCTGTGAAGATGAAGACAAGAGGATGGAGAAAGAATTCATAGAGCCCAATGCAGGATGCCCTTGGTTTAATTCATGAATATAATGCAGACAAATCAGATTTCTACATCATAGGATTGACGCACACATCACTTACTCACCCTGAGTATTTGCTATACCCCCCTAATCTGTCTTTGTTGGAAGACCAAGATAATCATGACAATATGGACCAGACCCTCTGTCTCAGAATCAGTGTTTGCTTATAGACTGCACATATAACTGCTACAGAATTTAATGTCAATTATTGCTCTGCTTTACTGCAAGCTATATTTGTACACTTTTTAGGGTACAGAAAATGTTTTAAGAGGGGAAATGAGGTTTACTGTACCTTTTTTGTCTCACTTTGACAATGTAAAATTTTCATGCAATCTATTTCAAAAAATAATAAACTGAAAATAAATATTTTAAAAATCCCAAAAGATTCTAGACACTGTAGTGCATTTCTCTAATTCCAATTATTCAAGAGGATGAGACAGAAAGATCACAAGTTTGAGGCTCTGCAAACTAGCGAGACCCTGTGTCAAAATAAAAACATAAAAGGCTGGGGAAGTAGCTGGGTGGTAGAACATTCCTGAGTTCAATCCCCAGTACTGCTACACAAACAAATAAACCTATTAATTATTTTCACTCAGGTTATAGCACTTAATCTTTGTTCCTTTTCCTCAGATTCATGTAGAAAAACATCAAGTACTGAAGATTTTAGCATTGCTTTGACTAGTCTCCATTTTTCTATCCTTATTGTCCCCACAATCATGTGACACGTAAATCTAATTGGGAGTATTCTAGTAGACATCTGGCATTTTTAAGTTTTGTTTCTTAATTTTAAAGTATTATGTCTGTAATAATAACAAAGTAATCTTACTAAAACAAACCCTGGTCTTATCACATTTATACTTTGCTCATCAAGGTACTTCGTTTTTCAGTAAATTCTGATGGCCCCATTTAGTATCTACAAACAGTACAATGTAACATAATGGAAATGATAACATTTTTAACAGACTTATATTTTATTGAGTAATATATTTTTTCTAATTTTTAAAATCTATTTTCAAGTGGGAATTATGAATGTTAATATATTGATAAATAATAAACTACATGTCAATCTATTTGTAAAAATAAAACATTTGGGGAGAGTTTCTTTATTGGAAATAATAATGGAGAGTTTTCAAATAAACTAAAATTTCTGCTTTCATGTATAGAAATATATAAGAAAAGAGCAAATGAATGCAAAATAATATTTTCAATTGAAACATTAATTAAATTTATATGAAATGGAATTTTGGTGTCTTTTATTTCTACAAATATCACTACTATTAATTTTATTCAAGTTAAAATGATTTTCCTTTGTAATTACATTAAAGTGGTAATAGTTCATGATTTTCACAAATTTTTATGTATTTTTATATTTATAATTGGAATGTATTTTTCCATCTCTCTTATTTTATCTGATGTACAAGAGTGAAAGCATTTAAATACCTACACATGCATACACACACACACACACACACACACACACACACACACACTCTTACCTGCAGTTGTCTGTTGGTATGTTAAGGATTAATTCCAGAACTCTAACACCCACAGAGTCCAAATTTTTCAGAAATACAAATTCCTTATAAAGCATGTCATAGTATTTTCACATAATCTGTGCACAGCCTTCTGAAAACTTCAAATCATCTCTACATTACTTATTATACCTAACACAATGTAAATGATACAAAAATAAATAGTCAATTGTACTCTTTATGTATAGCAATGGAAATTTTTTTCCATTGCTTGTTTTCTCAAATTTTCAATCCATGGCTATGGAATGTGTGGATATGAGGGGTCCATATATAAATATGTTTATTTGTTTATATATAAATGATCCATACAAAACACAGGAAAAATCACAAGTTTTAATCTGAAAGAGTCAATAGATTTTTTAAAAAATAATTAGTTGTAGATGGACACAATACCTTTAATTAATTCATTAATTATTTTTAATATGGTGCTGAAAATAGAACCCAATGCCTCACATGCTAGGCAAGCAAGAACTCCACCACTGAACTACAACCATAGCCTCCGTCAATAGATTTTTAATGAATTTTAAAAAATAGATTCTATGTAAGATATTCAACAGATTAATGCATTATTTTTTTTGTTTTGCTAATATGTGTGGAAATATTCTTTTCCTCAATGACATTTTCATGTAAGAAAAAAAAAGAGTAACCCAATGACTCATTTTCTTATAAAACATTCTGTATTTTTTTCCAAATACAAAAGCTAATTCTCGCAGCAGACAAGATTAGTGTTTCCTCCTTCTTTAAGGATTATTTTTCTGGCAGCTTTCATGATGATATATGACATAACTAATATAAGGGTGCATTTTACCAATTCAAGAAGATCTTCTTATACTTAGTGGATACCAACTTAAAAAATTGAAGTTAAACTCACAGTAACCATGTTATCTGAATGTCCTGTTTTGTAGACAACACAGCTGGAATTGAAACCAGAAGAAATGGATACAGCCGCAGACAGCAAGAGTTGTATTTCCTCCCTGTTGTAATAGAAGACAGCAGCTACCCTGTCCAGAGCAGTACAAACACAATGACTATTCGAGTTTGTAGGTGTGACTCTGACGGTACTATCCTGTCGTGTAATGTGGAAGCAATTTTTCTGCCTGTCGGATTGAGCACTGGCGCTTTAATTGCAATCCTACTATGCATCGTTATACTTTTAGGTTAGTTTCAACATTGATCAAGTTCTCTCTCTCACAGTCCTATGTCTCTGTCTCTGTTTCTCTCTCTTTCTCTTTCTAGAGCGCATGGTCTCCCCCTCAGTTTACCATGTAAATAGATTTTTGTTCACTGAGCTGTCACTTCTTGTTATAATTTATCTATATTACAATATTTTATGAGATATATTTTTTATTTAATCCCTCATAAATCACATCATTTAAAATATAAAACTGGATTTTCAAGTTTGTGGCCTTTGCAAAATGATATTTTCTCTAAAAATATCTATTTTTTGGCAACAATTTCTCAATTCATTTTATATTCTAGTAATTACTGCAATCGAATAAAAGATCCTATAGTCTTTTTAGAAATGTACTAGGTGAACAAAAGCTCTCAAATTCTGAAAAGAGAAGAAAAGAAAGAAAAGGGCAGTAAAGAAATAGAATATAAAGGAATCCCCAAATTTTATTTCCTTCGGTTAAAACTGCCTTTCAGAAGCAATTCTTCTTCCAATTACCCCATATCCCCTCACATCAAAATTTTAACTATTCCTACTCTGAACAAAACTGACTAAAATATCTAGGCACAGTACAAAGGAAAAGGACTGAAGTAAAATGTGTTCACCATCTCTGTGATAGTGAATGTCAACCAACTTCAGGGCTTTGCCTCTCCCATCAACTGTTCAGCTTTTCTATTTCACTTTCTAATTTATTGCCATATTCACACTAGTACAGAGAGATTTCAATTTTGCATCACTTCTTTAAAATCAAATTACAACAGATACACTGCTGGGCACTGTGGGATAAGTTTGTATACGCATATTTTCCATTCAGGAAACAATATTCTGAAAAAGATGAACACTTTCCAGTAACTACAGGATAGAAAGCAAAACTGTTAAACCACTTATAGGAGGTAGAACATGGAGTAAGGAATTCCATGATACCTTGTGGGAACATGCCTTGAGTCAGATGTTCATACTGTCTTGAAGGATAAAGTTGTAGTCCAATTTACATGTGTATTATTATTTATGCTGTTGATATAAAACTTAAAAGAGCACATTCAAAAAAATTCTAACATCTGGAATTGAACATGATCAATTAGGTTTAAGTTCAAATCAAGTGTTCCTTTGTCATTCTGTTCATTTGTCTTGTGACTATTGGAATACCAGAGTAATTCCATAGCAATTTAGCAGCTCTGCACTTTCCCTGTGACTTAGGGAATCCCAAAATCTAGGAGACTTGTTTGATTTCCTGGGGAGAAATAACCGAGTTTCATCGTGATATATTCTTCTCTACTCTCTAGTTCTATGACAAGAGTCTTCCAGACTCTTCCAATGTAAGACAAAAGGATTTTGCTCCCCTAATTATTTTTAATTGATTAAAATGATTAGGCACATTGGGAGTGTATTGGTCTATTTGTATTGCTACCTTGAAACAGAGTAGCAAGTAACATGTCTGCTCATCATTACAAAGCCCTGAAATCTATCATGCACTCGTTCATTCCATGCTTTCTAATGCCTGCAAAATACCTATGCTATTCTAGAGACTGTGAATTCACTGGTACAGAGTAGTGAATATTGGCACTCTTCATCTTTCCATGGTGTCTGCTTAAATATCCACTATACTTCGACTTCTGTAACCAATCACAGACTTCACTAGGTCTGCCATTTTCAGTTCCTTTGTGAGTTGATGGGAAGCACAAGAATTCAGTGGTACTTGATTTTCTTTTAGGTGGCCTTCAGGCAAGTCTAAAATAGTTTGCTTTACTGCCATGATGAATCCTAAACCAGTTTGCATGCAGGAATTCTCCATGAGGCTTTCGGTCTCTCACGTACTCCCCAGGCAATCAAACAACAGTCTCTTAGGTTTTGGGATTCCCTAAGTCATAGGGAAAGTGCAGAACTGCTAAACTTCTCTCAAAATCCCATTGTACAGCAGTCCTCCCTAGGTTCCCTCCCTTCTTCCAATGCCCTGACTCTAATTTTGAAGAAAGAGAAATAACCAAGTTTCATCATGATGTATTCTTCTCTACTCTCTAATTTTATGACAAGAGTCTTCCAGACTCTTCCAATGTAAATCAAAAGGATTTTGCTCCCCTAATTATTTTTAATTGATTATCTCAAAAAATAGTTATTTTATTAAAAACACAAATTTCCAATTTCCTAATGAGAATACTACAATTTGGAAATTAAAAATGATATTTATATCTTGCAGATTATGATGATATTTAAGATTTTTTTTTAAAAGAGAGAGAGAGAGAGAGAGAATTTTTTTTTAATATTTATTTTTTAGTTCTCAGGGGACACAACATCTTTGCTTGTATGTGGTGCTGAGTATCCAACCGGGGCGCACGCATGCCAGGCCAGCGCGCTACGCTTGAGCCACATCCCCAGCCCCCCTTTTTTTGTATCAATTCTTACAACTCTGTATGGTTAGAACACCCCCCATCCCCACCCCGGCATTTTTGTCTAAAATACGGAAATATAAGGACAAAAATGATATTTTGAATAAATGTTCTGTGGTTTCTTGTTATCATTTCCAAATAAAGTTGACTTCAGACAATGAGAAAAACATAAACACATACGTGCTCCTATTGATTGTAGTGTTTTTAATCTAAGACTGGAAACGGCATGCCTTGATCAATTTTAACTTTCTTGCAATGATAAATGACTCATCTGCCTTCTTTTCCCCAATTGCAATTTGTCTCCTCTCAGCCATAGTTGTGCTGTACGTCGCATTGCGCAGGCAGAGGAAGAAGGACACCCTGATGACCTCCAAGGAAGACATAAGAGACAACGTTATTCACTATGACGACGAAGGAGGCGGGGAGGAGGACACGCAGGCCTTCGACATCGGGGCTCTGAGAAACCCGACAGCAGTGGAAGAGAACAAAATCCGCAGGGATATCAAGCCAGACTCTCTTTGCCTGCCCCGCCAGAGGCCCCCAGTGGAAGACAGCACGGATATCAGGGACTTTATCCATCAGAGGCTGCAGGAGCACGACCTGGACCCCGCCGCCCCGCCCTACGACTCGCTGGCCACCTTCGCCTACGAGGGCGCAGGGTCGCTAGCCGGGTCGCTCAGCTCCATTGACTCGCTGGCCACTGATGCTGACCAGGACTACGACTACCTGGCGGACTGGGGACCACGCTTCAAGGTCCTTGCTGACATGTTCGGTGAAGAAGAGAGCTACAACCCCGACAAAGTCACTTAGGGAGAGGCGGAGGCTAAGTGCAGAGGAGGAGAGATTTTTTAACAGGAGCAACACAAGTAGACATCAACGCGCTCGCACACACACAGGCTTTATAATGCAGGATTCTTTTGACGATCTGGTTTCTAGCAAGTGGCTATATTTATCATACTGTCAGTTTTGGTTTATTCTGTCGACACAAGATAAATCCTATAATATGTACTTGCTTTGTTTTGTTTTGTTATTTCAGAAACACGCTGAGACAAGCTCAGGCCTATTAAATACAATTTACTGACATGACAACCTACAACGAAGATAGCTATGTGGCATCACGGTGGAAGAGTGTTAGATTTTTCTTAATTCCACTAAAGTGCCTATTGAAACTCTTATCATTTAAAGTGGTGTACCCTACACTCTGCTGTGATGTGGTTGCAGGATTCAGTGATAAAGAGGAATAAACAAAGACATCTTCAAGGAGCAATAGCACCCTGCTGACTCTTCTCATTCCTTTTGAGACAAAAAGGAAACTCTGAACTCCATCTTCTTATAATTCAAAGGTGTTTCTTTTTAAAACTGTATGCCAAGACATATTTGCTTTTCCTACCCTTTCAGAAAATTGAAATAAATGTGATAATATCAAATTAAATATGTAACCCATGAATTTGAAAAGTAATGTCTGATCGTAACATAAGTTCATATTAAAGAATGTTAATTAAAATATTACTTTTTTTCCAAAAAAATAAAATTTTAAAAAAGAAATGGAAAAATCCCTCTTTATAAAGAGAGGCCTCAGGGCTCAAATTCCACATTAAAATAAATATCGGTTTTGTTTTATACTGTAGTGGTGTGTGGAAATTGGTTTTAAAAAGTCACCAAATCATTCAAACTCTCAGTTGTAGATAAAATACCAGCTTATATTTCTATGAATATTTTCAAAGGGAACAACAGTTATTAATTTAAATAGAGAAAGAGCAATTCATTACAGTTTCTTGGATTTTCTTACACTCTAGTGATTCTTTGTTGGTCAATGAAAAAAATACATAACAAATAACATAGGCTAGATGTACAGCACATCTCCAAATATTTTTTATGTTATTGAACAACTAAGGGACTTCAGAATGTTAAATCCAATGACTAAATCTTAAAAGGGACACAAATGCAAAATCAGGCAGCTGATGCACTTACTAACATGTACTTTGTGAATGCCATTCTAATACTGCAGCTCAGAGTTACCTCTTTGCTATCTCACAAACAACAATCCTCAGATTCATCATCCTTTACAACCTCCCTGTAAATAGATTTTCAATTTGATACAAGTTTCTAAGAAATATTCAATTTAATGAGCATATTAGTAAACTTCACTCATGTTAATTTCAACTGGATTGTACACTATTTAGAAATACACATAACAGATATTAACTAATTAAAGTTGTATATTTCTCAATATTAAGCCTATAAATGTGTCTTCTGAAAGATTAACACTATGTATAATTAGAGAATTAAAGTTGTTGTAGTTCCATCTCAAATCTAAGATCAATATCTAACTATAGTTTTAAAATATCTATGAATATATTTAACATTTACAAGATCATAAAACCAAGAATTCACATATGGGAAAATCACGTGGAAATATGAATAACCGGTAAATTATACTCAGCCATATGCACACACAAATGCTTATTTTAAAATTATCTATTATTGATGCTATGGCAAAGGGATCCTTCAAATCTGCATTTCCCATCTCTTTCCTCTTTCTACCAGTTGCATAGTTTCCTTTTCTCCTTAGGAATGACTGACGAACTTGCTTTCCTCTACTGATCACCCAGTTTTTACTTCAGTCTCATTCCTGAGAACTACATTACAATATTCATGTAGTATAATACTTTCTAATATAGTACACTTTGGGAAATATTTACATACTTTTTTTAGGAAGCTTATAATATCATCATCTTTCCCAAGAGAAAAATTAAGATAATTTCTAGATTTGCCTACACAACATGATTCGCTCTGTTATGAAGAAAAACCTCCTGAAGAAGGTTAATGTGCAATATCATTCCCTTTTGAAATGATTATTATTGTCAGAAATTATTGCATTTGACATTTTATAAAGGAATGTCATTGGATCTACATTCAACAGAAGCCATGTGACATGAAGAAAATTGGGAGGGGTAGATGATGTGAAAACATGTCACTAAAATACTAAGCAAAAGTATGAAACTTGTGGATCTTATTTTTATCATATTAATAAACTTTTATTTTTAGGGCATCTATCTCTTTTACATTTTCAACACTATTTGTGTGGTAGGGCTACTCTAAAAAATATCAAAGATTGAAATGCTTAGCAAGAGGTGCTTTTCCTTACAGTTCTGGAGGGTTGGTTTCTTCTGAGGCCTTTCTCTTTGCTTTAGGATAAATCCTTTGTTCTGTGTTTTTACATGGTCTTCACTCTGTGTTTATGTTTTTATTTATGTTTTAAAAAGAACCTGCTGAATATTAGATTAGGTCTTAGTCATGTAACCTCTTTTTTACCTTACTCATCTCTTCTAAGTCCCTATCTTTGAATGCAGTCGCAAAGACAAATTAGGAGATAGAATTTCAGCATAGGGATTTGGCATACAACAACAATACAGATATTCACAGCAAACTTTTTTTTTTAACCTAAAAAGCATTTGATTTGTAATAGCCAACCACCCAATTATGTGAAAAGAAAGTGAAGGAAATAATCTTCATTACAATGGGAAACTAGAAAAATCGATATGGGGAAAGAGACCTGTTAGTATTAACTAATTAGAAGTGTTACAGAATACTTTTTATGCTATGACAAAAAATAGATCTAATATATCAGTATTTTTATTTTTAAATATTTTTTAGTTGTAGATGGACACAATACCTTTATTTTTAAATTATTTTTATGTGCTGCTGAATATAGAACCCAGTACCTCACATGTAGCAGCCAAGCACTCTCCCACTGAACTAGAAACCCAGTCAATTTTTTTAAAATTTATATTAACAATTACAAAACTTCATTCAAGCATTAAGCAATATAAAACTATTAAGAATTTATATTTATATGGGTAAATATTGACTATTAACTATAATTAAACTATAATTTTATTGTCTTGCATATGTATCTTTATAGAAATATATATGTACATATTATATATAAGTAAGTATGTTACTTATAAATTTTTAAATATACTACCTTTGATTTTATTCAAAGAATATTTATCAACATCTAGCAGTGAAACTCTGTGATTGATACACTAGAAATAATCTAAAATTGCTTTTGTACCAAATTCTGTCTCTGGCTAGTAATGTCCAAGGGGGCAAGTTCCTTCTTCATCTCTCAATGTTCTAGTCCCTGTGGTAAACTTAATTTGTTGCACCCTAATGTTTTGTAAGCTTCCTCTGAAATTTATTGGCTATTAAATTCTAGTTATAATCACAAGTCTGTTAAATCATTTGTGGATTACAAAAAAATCTTGAGACTCATAGAGATCTTTAAGTCATAAATCACAGAAATCTTTGAAGTATGTAGTTGATTGATCATACATTAAAATTTTCCACTTCTATCACAGAAAGGAGCCATTCTTTAAATACAGATGCAGAAGTTCTTTAGGTGTGCATAGGAAGAGAGAGAAAATAGTACAAAAATAGCTAGAGCCCAGATCTTGAGGCAAAGAGGAAAAATAAATCATCCAGAGGAAAGATTAAAAGATATTCACTATTCCCTATAGAAATCTTTGCAAAATTTTCAATAGCTATTGTATAAAACTGAGAATTACTAATAACAGATGTAATTGCGTAGGTATTATATGTGAGGTGGTTAAACTGTGACTAGAAATAAAAACGAGGTGATAAAAAAAATCAGTAAACAGTCTCAGTATTCTTCCAAAGAGTATGACTGTACAACGGATCATTGTATAAATCACCCCCTGCTTGAAAATATCTATTTTTGCCTCCCCAACTACAGCAGCTTGTCCGGATACTCAGTTCTTGTTGTAATCATTCCTTCCTCATTATTTTAAGTATTCTTCTATCATATTCTGGCATACAACTCAGCTGAAGAGACAGATATGATTGCACCACTCTTTCATGTGTATGTGAAATGGTTTGTGTTGGATGATATTCAAGTTTTTTTCTTACCCTCAGAGTTACAAAATTTCATACTAATGAGCCAAGGATGAGAATTTCCTAATTCTTAGGACTAGATATTTGAGGGCTTCTTTAAATATGCAGCCTCAGAACCTTCACTTCTGGGAGATTTCCTGGTATTCTTTATTTTGTTGTTGTTTTGTTTGTTTGTTTGTTTGGTGCTCTGGATGTAATGGCTCATTGTCTTATATTTAATTTTGTATCTTTTAATATTTTATCCTATTTTCATGATAATAATTTTCTTGGTAGTTCTCTTTTTTTCTGCTTGCTCTGCTCTTATATTTAGATGAGTCATATTTAAATGAGTCTTCATTTTCTATGATGATGTTAATTGTAGCTTCTTTTAAAAAATAGTTATACTTTTTTTTTATTCTTTCATACATTAGAGCTTCAAATGAGTACAGGAAAAAGAACTATAGATTTAATTGTAGTGTATTCCATTTCAAATTCAGATCTCATTTCAGTTTTCTGCCAAACATGATATGAACTAATTCTGAAATTTTTAAGTGTTCTGTTGAGAAGATAGGATCTCAGACAGCAGCAACATGAGTTCTGGAGTTTATAATTTCACCCATCCCTGCTCCACCAACCTTCCAGTCATTTACCCAAAACTCTTGACTGTATTAGACAATATGCCACATTCTTTATTGGGTAAACATACAAATACACAGGTGTGCATATAGGAATAATATAAAAATAGCAAATCTAGATGATTCATAAATATTTGTTTCCTTAGCATTAAGTTATTTATCTTCATAACTCTCTAATTATGGCAGGGACATATAAACAGTCACAATTATATAAAAACTTGGATAACCTTAATTTGTCTCCGACATTTGTTATAAAACAGTGAGACTAAATTTTCCATGTTTGGTTAATATATATTACACTATATAGATAATACACTTATATATTAGCCATTGCATGTTAATAAGTCTAAATTTTATTATGAACCATCACGTTGTTCAAGTTTATTGTAATTCTTAGTGCACAGATTTTTATAACAGTCAGTCTGAATCACTAATTTTTTCCAAAGTTCTTATATTCCTTAGGTATTTATGTTTAATTTCATTTTTATTGTCTCACTTTAAAATTAATGTTATAGGAGGTACTGATACCCAAACAACTTGTGCAAAGTTGAGAAATAATAAATGAATAGGAAGTAAAGTTCTTTATTCATGGAGAGTTAAATAAATCTAATGTTAACTTCCATTCTTGGTAGTTTTTCACTGGTTTTCCAACCACAACACTGTTATTTACTACTCTACAATGAAAAATAAAATCAACAGGAACTTCTGGGAATTATGGTTCATAATACAACATATTATTATACTTTATCAAGAAAATAACATCATTGTTTCTGATATCCAATATCTTACCCAAGAGTCAAGACTGAATGACACAATATTTTTCCACAGTACAAATAGAACTCTATTACATAATTGAAGATATCCATGTGTGTATTACCAGTAATCCAAATATATGAAACCATCTCATATTATACCTTTTACAGCATTCACATAAGTCATCTAAATACAACCTTGGCCTTTATTTTTCAATGCAGTTATGTCCAACGTCTTTTCTTTTTAGCTGCCTTGAGTGCACTTCTACCTTAAACTTTAGCAACACTAAAGATACAAATTCCAAAAGTAATTTACTTATCTTATATTTCTCCCAATACCTC